ACGATTCGTGTCCGTACTAAGCGCATAATTGCGTGGTTAAGAACATGGACTATTGGGTACGAACTTATATTCCATTCAACATGCACATGATCTTTTCTCTTTACGCACTGTCATTAATTTATTTACGTGTATATGCATACGAAATATCATGTGTATGTGTATATGCGAGAACCTGACCACGACGCCGAAAAGCACGCCTACTTCCCTTATAGAAATATCATACTAAGAATCATTGATAATTACTTATTTTCAGTATTAAAAATACTGGATAATAAATAATTATCAATGATTCTTAGTATGATATTTCTATAAGGGTTCCATGCTCTACATAACACGATATTAATCGCATTATTATAAAACATTAATTCCAGTAGCATAAACTATGGAAAAACTAGTGCTCTTTAAATAACATCAATATCTTTCGTGGTTGCCGAGAAATAAAGAATAAATCCCTTATAGAAACATCATACTAAGAATAATTACTTGATAATTACTTATTATCCAGTATTTTTAATACTGAAAATAAGTAATTATCAATGATTCTTAGTATGATATTTCTATAAGGGATGTTGGCGGCATGTAAGAGTTTAATCACAACATCGAAACATTCGCGCATTTCTATACTTTACTTAAAGCAGTGGTATTAAGCAGTGGTAATATTATAAACAACTAATTCCAATAGAGTAAAGTGTGGAGAAGACAGTGCTTTTTGAACGAAATCGATATCTGTTGTAGTTGCCGAAATTAAGCAAAAAATGCTGGACATAAGCACTGGACCGCGACGTCGCGCTCAGTCTCTTAAACATGCCACTATCATTTATTGCTTAATTTCGGCAACTACAAAAGATATCGATTTTGTTAAAAAAGCAAACACTTCTCCTCACATTACTCTATTGGAATTATTGGTTTGTAATATTACGAAAAATAACACTGCTTTAGATAAAGCGTGGAAGCGCGCGTACGTCTCTACGTCGCGGTCAAGTGCTTGTATGCTGCTAATATTTTTTTGCTTTCTTTCGGCAACTACATAAGATATCGGTTTCGCCCAAAAAGCACTGACTTCTCCTCATTTTAGTGTATTCGAATTAGTCGTTTATAATATTACGAATAATACTATTGCTTTAGGTAAAGCGTTTACGTCTTGATGTACGTCACAATCATCCTTTTGCATGTCGCTAGCATTTATTCTTTAATTTCGGCAACTACAAAAGATATCGATTTCGTTCAAGAAGCACTGACTTCTCCACTGACTTCATTCTATTAGCTTAGTGGCTTATAATATTACGAATAATACCACTGCTTTAAGTAAAGTGTGGAAGCGAAATCGATATCTTTTGTAATTGCCGAAAGAAAGCAAAAAATGCTAGCAGCATATTAGCACTTAATCGCGTCGTGGAGACGTACGCGCGCTTCCACGCTATACCTAAAGCAGTGGTATTTTTCGAAATCTTATAAACCACTAATTCCAATAGAGTAAAGTGTGGAGAAGTCAGGGCTTTTTATTCGAAATCAATATATTTTGTAGTTGCTGGAGGGAAGCAAAAAATGCTAGCGGTATATAAAAGGATGACCGCGACATATATCGAGACGTATGCGCGTTTCAACTTTACCTAAAGCAATGGTATTATTCGTAATATTATAAACCACTTTTTCGAATATAGTAAAATGAGGAGAAGTCAGTGGTTTTTTAATGAAACCGATATTTCATACAGTTGCCGAAAGAAAGCAAATAATATTGGTGGCGTACAAGCACTTGACCGCGACGTCGGACATACGCTTCCACGCTTCACTTGAAGCAGTGGTATTATTCGTAATATGATAAATCCCTAATTGCACTAGAGTAAAGTCAGAAAAAGTCAGTTCTTTTTGAACGAAATCGATATCGTTTGTAGTTACCGAAAGAATGCAAAAAATATTGGCGGCATATAAACACTTGACCGCGAGGTCGAGACATATGCGCGCTTCCACGCTTTATCTAAAGCAGTGATATTTTTCGTAACATTATAAATGGGAGAATCCCGTTTGCCTACAAATTAATTGCCTACAGTATCGATTGCTGACATTCAACTTATCCACATTTCATTTGCACACAAAAATTATTGCCTACAGAACAATTACCTACAAGTTGTATTACGCACAAATAAAAAATTAAAAGCCGAACGATCGTTTGCACACACGACACTTGCGCACAAATCACATTGCACACAATATTATTGCCTACAGTATCACTGCTTATATGCTTTATTGCGCACAAATAAAAATTAAGAGACGAATACACGTTTGCGCACGAAAATTATTGCCTACAGTAAGATTGCTTACAAGTTCTATTGCACAAATAAAAATTAAGAGACGAATGCACGTTTGCGCACAAAAATTATTGCCCACAGTAAGATTACTTACAAGTTCTATTGTGCACAAATAAAAAATTAAGAGACGAACGTACGTTTATACACACCAAACTATCGCGCACAAGCTACATTGCGCACATAATATTATTGCCTACAGTACGTTTGCCAACAAGCTCTACTGCGCACAAATAAAAATTAAGAGATAAACGTACATTTATACACAAAAATAATTGCCTACAGTACGATTGCCTACAAGCTCTATTACGCACAAATAAAAAATTAAAAGCCGAACGCTCGTTTGCACACATAATATAGTAATTATTTAGTTTAGCGGCAATACCTCCGATTTCGATGAAAATAGGCTCAATCGACGCGTCGTCATACCATCTATCTCTAGCTATGTGACTGAGGGGCTACGCCCCCCAGAGCCCTCGTATCACGGGGGATGGGGGCTATAGTCTCTTGTGCTTAAGCTAAAGAGTGAATTTCTCACAAAAGACTGTAGCTTCCACCCCACCGTAATACGGGGGGTCTGGTGGGTGAAGCCCCCCAGTTACATACCCTTATAGAAATATCATACTAAGAATCATTGATAATTACTTATTTTCAGTATTAAAAATACTGGATAATAAGTAATTATAATTACTTATTATCCAGTATTTTTAATACTGAAAATAAGTAATTATCAATGATTCTTAGTATGATATTTCTATAAGGGTATGTAACTGGGGGGCTTCACCCACCAGACCCCCCGTATTACGGTGGGGTGGAAGCTACAGTCTTTTGTGAGAAATTCACTCTTTAGCTTAAGCACAAGAGACTATAGCCCCCATCCCCCGTGATACGAGGGCTCTGGGGGGCGTAGCCCCTCAGTCACATAGCTAGAGATAGATGGTATGACGACGCGTCGATTGAGCCTATTTTCATCGAAATCGGA